TTCACCACCACGTTCACCACCACGTTCACCACCACGTTCACCACCACCATCATCACCATCACCATCACCAGCACCATCACCATCTTCAAGACCGTCAGCATCATCACCACCACCATCATCACCACCATCAACATTATCTCTAGACCTTAGATTTTTTGACACACTGTTTGGGTTTTCTTGCCGGGATAGTTTTTCTTTCTGGAGTTTGGGAGTGTGTGACCGTTTTGCCATGCCCAACCGTCACCCCGAAAAAGGAGGGTGACTTGGGGGTGTGGACACCCCGATTAGTGGGTCCTGGTGTGACGTGACTATATAATCAAAAGTGTCGCTCTAGTGAGTGGTGTGGTTTGCAGTCACCTCAAAACTTGTAAGAACTGGCAGGCCAGAGGACATTTTGCAAACCCTGAGACCTTAAGAGACAATCAGTGCACAAAAAATACACCTGTACTTCACCTGCGTTGAACACAAAGGATGTTTTTTCTGTTCTTCAGTTCGCTCAGCTCGAGGTAACAACGATGACGGGTAGCGAGCCAAAGGAGCCTCCGCCGGCTCTTGGAACGTAGAACTTGGCGTGGGCGTTTTCAGCTTGGACTCGTTTCGATTGATTTTCTCAACAGTGGAAACTCAGTGCACTCGTTTGGATTGATTTTTTCCGCGGTTCCAGCTGACACACGACACTCAGCCAAGCATGCAGCTGAAGACCGTTGACCAAACGTGCACGACTTGATGTGGTCGAACCAGCGAAGAGGCCAAGGAGGAAAAACGTTTGACCGCCACATCCATGAGCAATGAGTGACGGTCAAAGCTTTCAGTTTTTTGCATGCTTTTAAGCCGTGCACCGCATTTGAGGATTGTCTTCTGGTTTGCCTCCAGTTCAATTTTGGAACTGTTGCTGTAGGGGAGTGCTATGTTTGTTTGGCACCCCAACTGTGACAAGGCGGACCATCTCAAGCATTTGTTTAGTGGCGATGACTCCCCTGCTGGCCACGACTGGAACTCATGCATTGGATCCTTTTCTCATGTCTCCCTGTCTTGCTCTTTGATGCTCAATGAACCTGGTTCATGGAGGGCGCAAGTCAATTAGCATGACGTCATGAGCAACGGACATTGGCCACTGGGACCTACACTGTGATCAAAGGGTCATGACACTTGGTGTCTAACTAGCTCATCACGTTTGCATGTAAGAAAGCCTCCGAATCCATCATCATGCCGCCTGCACCAATGCAGCAGGCTATTCCGGTGATGTTCATGCAGCCGAGTGGGGAGGGGCCAAGTGCCCCCAGCATGCCAGGACCTGGCATGCAACCAATCTTTGCTCCCAGACCGATGGGCGGTAAAGGTGGCACCATGCTGGTGGTGGGAATGAATGGAATGAATGGCATGAACGGAAGGAATGGCATGAATGGGTGTCTGAATGGACCGGGAGGTGGTCCCAAAGAGGGCCTAGAAAGTGGGCCAGGTGGACCAGGGAAAGGTGGCAAGGGAGCTGTTGCAGGTGTCCCGGTGAATGGTTTTGGGCCTGGCATGAATGGATGCCATGGGCCTTTCCCCTTGAACCAAGAGGGCGCGCAGCAGAACATGGCCTTCATGATCGTCCCTGAAAGCCACATTGAAGAGTACAAGAACAAGGGCGCAGTCCCTTTGGCCCAGGGCACAGCTGAAGAGATGCTCCCGAACGGTGTGAATCTGAACATGTCGCAAGGGCCACTGGTGTTCGGAAAGGGTGGCATGAAGGGTCAGCCTGGCTGCATGGGCGGTGGCTTTGGCTGGGGGTCCGGCAAAGGGTCCTCGTACCGAAGATTCTCTGACCGAGAAGACCGGCGGGGGTTTTCTCCTGGTCCGCGGGAAAGGGGGCCCTTTGGCAAGGGGAAGGGAGATGGCAAGGGGGGCTTTGGGAAGGATGGGAAGGGTGATGGCAAGGGAGGCTTCAGCAATGGGAAGGGAGATGGCAAGGGAGGCTTCAGCAATGGGAAGGGAGATGGCAAGGGAGGCTTCGGCAAGGATGGGAAGGGAGATGGGAAGGGTTTTGGGAAGCACAACAGCTTTGGAATGCCCCGGCACCCTTTGAAAATCGGTGGGCAGTTCCAACAGTCTGCCCAGTGGCAGCAACCTTTGCCAGACGGGAGTGTTGCCACAGTGTACCTGATCGCTGATCAGGATAACCTCCAGCAAGCAGCAAGAAGGTTGAACTTCGTGGGACATGGTGCCATCATTGTCATGGATTGTCATGGATGGAATCTGAAAGCGGCCGCCGGAAAGCTTTGTTTGTTGAGCATTGCTTTCATGGATGGCACTCCACAGCTCTTCCTGATTGACGTGCTACAATTGGGTGAGCAAGTTTGTACCCTCATGCCCTTTTTCACCAATCCAAATGCGTCCAAGTTCACGGCCGACGCCTCCACCCACGCTACGGTGCTGGCCCACAAGTTCGGAATCAACTTGGCGGGGGTGATCGATGCGCAGTGGGCCTATGAAACGCTTCAGAAGAAAACGATGGTGAGGCCTCTTGAGGTGCTTGACTGGTGTGGCCTAGCTCCACCAGACTTCAAGCAAGAGACTCTGCAATTGGAAGGAACTCCTGAGGTGTGGGGCCAAAGACCTCTGCCACAACGGACCTTGACCCATGCCGCGCAAGGCATTGGCCTACTCCAGGCGGCGGCTGCGGTGGTTTGGAAGCGCCTTGCAGTGGCCTTTGGCAAGGATGTGTTCGAGAAGGTGGGGCGGAAGAGCCGCATCCGCGAAGACGAAGACGACGGAATGACGACGGGTGTTGGGGTGTTCCTCCATCCACGAAGCGAAGTCATGTTGCCCTGGGCGGTCGCCCATTCCACCTCCGGTCCTCGAGACCTGGCGTTCGCACCCGAGACCGTTGCGCCTCTCCAGGTGTCCAGTGCGTCTCGCCAGCGCGCCGAGATGGCGGCCGCCGCCGGATGGGCCTGCCGCCACGCGGGGCTCTTCACCGCGGAGCAGGCGCACGGTGGGTGGAACGGTCGGGTGGGCCCAAATGCAGATGTGTCCGGCGGCCACATGTTGAGGCCTTCCACTAGCTAACTCTGACATGTCTCTGAGGATCACAATGTGAACGATGTAAGACCAGCTAAGACCAGCTGCAGAACCAGCACTAGCAACTAATCCAACTAACAAAAGCTGCATGTTTCCTGCACCCAACATCCAACAGGTATCAGTCTACAAGGTCTGCGCAAACGTCGTTGGGTGTGCACCGAAAAACACCGCCCTGGGCGGTGTTGGGGTGGTGTTGGGTTATGACAAAAGGCAACAAGAAACTGCCGGCTGCATCGAATCATGCACGTTCTTAGCACTCGGCCGACGGCCGTACGTGTCACGTACGGTAAATCGTGATAGGTTCCCATGATGCCCCAGGTGTTTTTGGTGGCGGAACACTTGCTCTTGGAGTTGAGGTCGCTTGATTTCGTCGCAAGTTAGTTGTGATGGTTCAGTCACAAACAGGTCTAAATGGTCGTATAGATGGTACTTCAGGAATCCTGATGATGTTATGAAGTGTTCTTTCTTCGCAATCCCGCCATTTTCCGTTGCACCCCATCTCTCAGCTATTCCACCACCCGTGTGGACCGTGGGACGACTTTCACGCTTCACCTTCAGCGTCGCTTCCGGCGTTGGGCGTTGGGAGGACTATGAGACGCCCGACAAGGACTCTGAGATGGAGGATTGGCTGGCGAAGCGCTTCGGCAAGGAACCCTCGAGCACCTCCGCCGCCCTCCGAGCACGCTCTGCTGAGCGTCCCAAGCTGCCCGAGACTGCGTTTCGAAGCTTGGTGGGTGGGTGGATCATTTTTCTCGGGGATGGGAAACAAAACCTGGTAGGCGAAGAAAACGCAGCGCTTCCTTCCGAAGTGAAACGAAGGGAAGAACTTAAGTTTCGGCTTGGGATGGCAATGTGACGTGGTTCTAGCTTGGACATTGTCGCTCCACGAGGCTGCATGGGTGGTTTTTAGATCCCAAATAGAGGTCACTCAGGTTCTAGGTCCATACTTGGCGTTGCCAAGAATCACGACTGCCAAGGTGACGTTGGGACGTCGCCTCGCCTACACTAGCTTTCTCATTGAGCGAAGCAAGTCAACGCAGTTTTTCTTTCTATCAATAAAAAATAAATCATGTGTCGAACGCAAATAAAGCCCGATTAAGGCGGGGACGGTTTTGGACCGTCTGATTATTGCAAGCTCCCTGGTGCCCACAGGCATGTGGCTGGGTGTTTCCCTGGTGCCCCTAAAAAGCATCCTTGGACCCCTCTTTCGACCCTCTTGAAGGAACCCCGACCTGATCCCCCCGAAAAAAGGACCACCGGCCACAGCCACGCCGCTTCCAACCCTCGCAATACCCGCCCGCACGAGCACTTGTCCGTGGTCCTCTCGCCCCTTGGACCTTGGCCGTTCTTCCTTCTCTTCTCTTCGAGGAGAGGGAGACAGTCCGCGTACCGCTGCCTGGCGAGCGCGCTTGGCCGAGATGAATCCTCCCCGCATCATTCCGTCCCGGCAGCGCTCCGCCAGTCCCACCCTGCACTCGTGGCTCGAGCGGCGAGAGACCGCGCGCGCCGAGAAGAGGAAGGAGGGCGCTGCGCATCGTGCTTCCAGCTTACCCTCACGCAGAAGGGAAAGGGATCAGGACGGGGGGCCAGGGGGAGTTGGGTCGTGGATGAGCTCTTTGGTTGATCGTGAAAACAGCAGCTGGATGGTCGAGTCATCCGGATGGATTGGAAAGAAGTTGGGGGTGTCCCATTACTTAATTACTTGTAACAGTCGGTAAACAAGAGTCCTTTTTTCACAAGTATATCGAGATGTCGACCTGTAACCCAACCATCATATCATGATCCACTGTTCTCAGGGAAGGATATTCGATCAAATAGAATCACGGACCATCCACCTGGACCCTCCAACAGGTGCTTCCTGGTGACAGGTGCCCAGAAACCACCTGTTAGGCTTCTAAAACCACCGGACTTGGAAGGTCCTGGCAGACTGAACTCTTGAGGACGAGGAAGACTTCGTCCCTCGAGACCTTCAGCCCTTGAATTTTGCCGCTGCCTCAGCTTCGGTTAAGCATGCGCCGTCGGCGTTTGCACGTCTCAAGAAAAAAAGCATGTCCACGTTCCAAGGACCGCCTGGAGAGAAAGAAATGGAATGAGCTTGTAGAGGAAGATGGTGCAAAGGAAGAAAAGGAGGAAGAAAAGGAAGATGAAAGTGATGGTGACTAGCAAGTCTATTGCGCCTCTTGCCAATCACCGGCCCGGGTTTTTGGGCTCTGGGATCCTGAACATCAAGAGGATCAAACGATTCTCCATGATCGATCCAGTCAGCCTCAAACAGAAGAGTGACTTGGTATGTAGACCACATGGGGAGACCACCTGGCCCAATAGGTAGACTGGTATATTTCCTCATTTTTTTTCCATTTTTGGATGGTTTTCGAATGGAGGAGACTGGTTCCTGATGTCTGCATCAAAGATGCGTGAGGGCGTGAGGACGTGACCGGTGAGCGTGAAGGAAACAGCGGCTGCAGTAGGTGGTTTTCGCAGGCCAGTTGAAGGTTTTCGCATGCAAGGTGTGCCGAATGAGGCGGATTTCAGCATGAAGTAGTGAGACACTTGCAGCATATGCTTGCTTGCGATTGAATTGTCGAAAAGCATCTCAAGCCGTCGCAGTTGCCACGCTTCGACGTGCTTCCCCATCGGCTTTGCTCGATTTCGTGGGACGGCTCCGCTTCGGCCGGCCACGACGGGCCGTCTCCGCCAGCAGCTCATTGGCATTTCAAATAGGAAAGAGACCGTGATTCGATCCATCTTCAAACCAGCCAGACAGGTTTCATGCCTCTTTAGCGATGTGCCGCGGCCCATCTCTAAGAGGTGGAGGAGTGCAAGAAGCCCCCCCCCGGTCTTTTGTGGCCGCCCGACAAGACCAGCAGACAGCAGACGCAGACGCAGAACGACCTAAGACACTTTTGAAGAGCAAATGCTCGATGTCGGGGTAGATTTGCTTGGCAATGGACAGCTCTTGAAAAAGGCTCCTCCTCGTTGGGGGGGTGGTGTGAGCACCTGGTCGTTCTGTTCATGTCGAGCGGCCAAAACTCCTGGTGTGGTCAGGAATGCAGGGCAGTTCCACAACGTGGGTCATGGCACCAGGATACCTTGGTTGACCTACTTGGAAGGTCCTTCGGTCTTGCACGATAAAACGGGCTCCAGCTCTGTTGTTCTTAGCCGTCCCCACAGGGAAAGTCACGTGGGAAACGCTGCCTCCGGGTCGGGTCGATGTGAACCTCCACATCGTTTAAAAGTGGAACCTCCACCAGCACCGACTGAAACCAGGTCACCAATTGAAACCGACTTCAGGGCCCTATGGAAAACCCTCCATGCAACGGAGACTTGTTGGGTTCGGTGCTGGCAGTTCCAGATCACGCTGACGTTGAGAAACGCTTCTTGCCAGGGCTGAGAAACCCAAGTGGGGGACCTTCTTCGGCACTGTACGGTATCGCATGCGTTTCTTTACAGAGGGGTGATTCTCGGCCAAGAGGTGATACCCACGTGGTGGCGATGGATTTCCAAGCCGCGTCCTAAACCTCCAGAGAACCGTTTGTGGATTCTGCCCCTGGAAGTCGGACGCCTTTTCGGATCAAGTCGGACGCCTTTTGGACCGTTTGGCTGCCCTGGGATTTCCCATCCAATTCCAACCCTCCCTTTCTGCGTCGGACGCCTCCTCTTTCACGCAAGCCCCGGCAGGTCCTGAGAGAAGGACATGGAGAGGTGCCGAAGGTGGGTGAACGTGTCCGGGAGCCCCAAGGATTCGAGTTTTCGACGTAAGACCACTGCGACGGAAGGTCAGGGGGGTGGAAGGTCACCGGAAGCGACTTCGGCTGGGAAGGGAACAGACCTTTGTGAGGTACTTGTATCTGAAGCACCAAACCCATTGGGGACGCCAAGGACAACTCCCTAACCCGTGAGCGCCGGGCCCATCCATCTACCCAGGTGAAGGTCCATTATGTCTGCCGCGCCTGCGACGAGCTCCTGGACGACTCCCGAGGCACCAGCTGGGCTCTGGCTGCCGTTGGGCGATATTTTTTTCGGAGCGGAAGCAGCTCAGAAGGAGGGGCAACTCTGAGGATTTGAAGTTGCCTCCCCCCACTTCTCCGAACACTCACCTTTAGAAGCAGGAGAAGCAGGAGACTGGCGCCAACCTCACACCTTGGGCCAACTCGTCGTCTCTTTGGCCTCCACCCCTCTCCACCCGGGCGCGGCGTTCTCGGCGTGGGTCCCGTGGTTCGACGGCCACGGCCGGGGTTCGAGGCCGTGGAGAGCCCATGTGCTTTGCTCTTGGCCAAGGCCGAGAGCTGACACGGACGCGACGCGCCATCAGCGCGGGCACCGTCACGGACGGATGAGTGGCGCCATTTCTGAGTGGCACCGTCACGAGGAGTGTCAGAGTGTCACGTGGGCGGTCACACACGACGTGGGCCATGCAAAAACCCACCCATAGGAATAGGTTTTACCATGGTTTTACCATCCAAATGGGAAGGTTTTTGCTGTAATCCAGAGTCTGACAGATTGCCTATCGCTCACGGTCTTCTGCCGTGTAGCGGTCACACACGTGTCGGGAGACCGGCGCGTCTGGCACCGTGTCGTGGTCGGACGGACCTCATGACGCACGCCCCCCAGCCGAACCGAAGGTCACACACCCGACCGTCCGGTGGGGTGCTTTGATGGCCCAGGAGTGGCAGAAGGGTCGCATCACCCGCATCACCGTAGGAAAACCCACTGGGTCGCCACATTATCGTTCAGCAGCACAGACGAGCCCGAGCTTCAAGCAAGCCGTCCTGAGCGCTTAGCTCGCCGGAGCGGCCCAGCCACTTGTTGCCCAACAGGTGAGGTGATTGCAGCTTGGGAGTCGGGAGCCTCAGTCGCACATTCGGTACCACGAGACAAGTCGACGAGTCGGCCTCTGTCCATCTCAGGCCAGTGAAAATGACAACTGAAGTGTCGAATCCCAATGAACTGGAGGTATGTCAGTGAGTCTTTTTGAAACCAAGCGCGTTGTGTATGCTTGATCAGACTTGGCCCCCACAACGCGCGAGCTGAGCTCTGCCGTGATTCTGCCACATTCCCTTCACACCACGGGGCACCCGCGGCTCACCATGATGGGATGATGAAAGCTGAGGGTGCCGAGTCCATGAGCCACGTTGAGGTCTGCCCTTCCATCCATGAGATGTGGGGAACTGGCCACACTGCTGGCAGGGTGGCCCAGAGGGCGGAGGGGGTGGAAGTTCACCCACTTGCCGTGACTTGCCCCTCCAAATGACAACCCCCTTTTTTGGGTGGATGAGCTACCCCCCAAGCGGAGTTGGGTGGGGTCAAATAAGAACTTCCTGGACTGTCCTGCCACCCACCCAGTGCCAATGCTGTGGGAATCCTCGAGACTCGAGACCGGACGTGTGGACTGACGTCGCCGCGACGCTGGGCGTCTCCTGCTGGATCAGAGTCTGCACAGCGAAGATATCATGTGCAAAGCCTCCAAGTTGGAAGGAACTTCTTGGGCTTTTCAATCCAAGGGTCCATTGCTGTCTAACATCGAATGACCAAAAACGCCCATTCTTTCTGGCAGGTACACCCCGAAATGGCCTATGGGGAAGCTGAAATTGCAAACAGCCAGGATCTCAAGCAGGAACCGGGCAGAACAGTGCCACATGGATTTTGTTTCCACCAATATGAACGCTGGCATCACTGGCCGGTCATCACTGGCTGTACAGAATCTTTTCCTTTGTGCACGAAAACAATGATCAGAATCAGGATTTTCTACTACTAGAGGATGGATAAGGGGTGCTTGCTTGTGTGGCGGTTCTCACGGGGATGATTTCTGCCAGTTCCTCCCAATCTCGCCCAGTTCCACATGGGAGCTCACTACACTATGAGTATGTGGCTCAGTTTGGGCAGCATGATGGACCAATTGTCAGAAGCCGCCGGGTAGCGGTAGCTGAGACCCCAATGATTGGACGTGGGATGAATATGAATCTGTATGAATCTGTTGCTGATGACAGGTGAGCAACATCAACTTTGCTTTCAGAGTGACTTTACTCCCCACTTATTGTACCCCCTATCAATCAGCGGTGCAAGGAAGAAACAACACACGGAAAGGCACGACATGAGGCTGAGCAGAAGTCACGTTAATTGTTAATGGAAGCAATATGAATACAGTAGCGACCTTCGGCTTTCAAAACCGCTAAAAATATCCGCTACAGCAAAGCGAGTTGATTGGATGCTCTTGCACCTCGCACTTGTTGGCAAACTCTCACCCACCACACCTGTCTTTTTTTTCATCCTCCTCAATAGACCCCACATGCCTGAGGGTCACGATCCCCCCATTCCAACATCTCGGAAGAGAGAGAGAGAGAGAGAGAGATCCGCCCGATTCCGTGATGCCTTTTCGAACCAAAAGAACCGGTTCGATCTCCGTGCTTTCTCGTCTCACGGTCGGAACGATCAGGTTGGAGCTCTTGGAGATTTCCCCGCAGGTCTCCCTCGCGAAAGAGGACCTGTCCCCAGAGGCGGGGGCGATTGATGTTACTCCGAGTCGCTGACATGGTTTTCTGGGCCTTACTGCAGCCGTATACTTGCCCCTTTTTCGGAACATCCTTTTCCTTTTCATTTAGAGGCACAATGCTTTTGGATGCTTTTGGTCGACTTCAATATGAGGGTGATCGTCTATATCGTTTGAGACAAGGATCGTTTCTGTGTACAGTCATGGTCTGCCTAGATCTGATCGATGGTCTGATCGATCTGTGGGAATCGATGGGTTTCTAGAAGTCGTGGCCCACCATGGTTTGAATCGCCAGGTCATCCCGAACCACCATTGGGCTTACTAAAGTAAAGGTTTCACACGACAAAAACCAGATCAACCATTTTAAAATGGTCGACTTTGACTTCCAGGTCTAGAGATATCTCAATATTTTGGTCAACCTTGACCATGTGTTTGTCTCGGACTTGAATGCAACTTCTACAGAAATCAGGGCCAGCGTGCCCAAACCGAAGCTCCAACGACTCCCGGCGATGTGAACGGGCCCTTCCAACAAAGGTGCACCCAATGACCCACCTCTGGTACCAACCTCTGGGAGAGTCGCACCACGTCGGAACCGGATGGATCGGGTCAGGAGCGACTTCTGGGAGCCAGCAAGGCCAAAGAGGAGGGCAACCTTCGCTTTAAGGCGCCCTCGGGCGAAATCGGTCCATGGCGACCTCGGGCGATGGGCGAGGCGAAATCGGTCCAGGTGCAAGTCCAAGGACCCTTACGACAGGGGGTCTTGCAGCAGCTTTTGGCCTACTTTTGGAGAAGGACGAGACGA